TCACACACACACATGTGGCTGTGATTGCAGTCCTCCCTGTTCCCAGCGGAGACTCCTGCAGAAGTGTCGGGCCCTGTTCCTGCCAGCCCACTTCTAGGGACCTCTGAACAAAGGCGTCCAGAGGAGGCCGTGGCAGGGCAGGTGCAAAGGAGGGAACCCCAGAGGCCCTCGGCGTCTCCTCCAGGCAGGGCCCCTCTTGGCCGGGACTCGATGCGGGAGCAGGATGTGCAGGCGCTGGCTTCCTGGGTGTCCTCAGCCCTCGGGCCCCGTGTTACTCCTGGAGGCTGTGAGCCTGAACACGCCCGCTCTGTCCATCTGGGTCTCTATGTCCTTCACGAGGACCTCATCGCCGCTCGGTCGTCCCATCCAGCCCTGTTCCCAGGCCTCGCAGTCTGTCTCTGCCCTGGGGGGCAGCCTGCAGGGCCCCATGGGGGCGGGCTGGATGGTGAGTGACAGGTAAAGCAGCCAACCAGTGCTCTTTCAGCTCTGGGGATGGGCCAGGAACTGCTCTCTCCGTTCACCCCGGTGGCCCTGTGAGCAGCTTCTCTGCGTCCTGCTCTGCCGAGGTCAGCCGAGGTTTGAGTGCCTTGGTGACCCTCACTCACCTTGGCTCCGGGCCCTGCCGAGGTCACGGTGAATTCTCTTCTCTGTGGGTCTCCCCTCCTCAGGAAGGTGATGTAAAAGTGAGGGCCTCCCCCCACCCCCAGAAGCCTCAGAGACGTCCTCGTCTCCAGGGGGCTCCACAACAAATGGCCACACACACGGTGTGGCTTCAGACAGCCATCTGGGGACAGAGGTCTGAGGCCAAGGTCTGAGGCCTCCTCCAGGGTCTCCTGGGAGGACCCTCCCCGCCTCTGCCAGCTCCTGGTGACACCAGTGTCCCTTGGCTTGTGGCCACATCCCTCCAGTCTCTGCCTCCATGTGTGGCCATCTCCTCTGTGTCTGTCCCAGTGTCCCTCCACATGTGACCATCTCCTCTGTGTCTCTCCCAGTGTCCCTCCACCTGTGTCTTATCTGGACGCTGGTCCGTGGATGGGGTCACCCTCACCCCAAAGACCTCTCCAGACCCTAACACTTTTCATATCTGCAAAGACCTTTTCCTAGACATGGTCACACTCAAGGCTCTGGGGGTCGGACCTGGACATGTCTTTTTGGGGCCTCCTCTCAAGCCAGTTTCTGGCTGATCAGACCAGCCCATGGCCAGGCGGCTCCCCAGGAATCTGGCCTCTGGACATGGGCTGACAGGCTGCTGCTCACTGGGTGCACAGGGGACAGATGCTGGCCATGGGGTCCCCCAGCACAGAGCCACACGTGTGCCGTGACAACCCTGTGGCAGCTGTGAGCACGGCTGGGCGGGGACAGGTCTGAGGACAGGAGAGGGCAGGCTGGACTCAGGATGGCATGCCTCTGCCCCAGGTGCCCTCTTCTGCGTCCACCCCAGGAGGAGGTCTTGGGTGCCGAGCCCATGGGTGTTGCTGCAGAAGACAGCACGTGCCCCCTTGTGCCAGTGGCAGGGAGGGGCTGTGGCCGTAGGTGTGGGACACAGTGGACCATGCCTCCCTTGATTCCCCAGGCGTCACTCTGCTGCTGAGCAGAGGGGAGGCGCTGGTCTTGTCACCAGCAGTGTCTCTGTGTGACTTGAATAATGTGACCAGTCATGATGGAGACGAACCCCCAGCAGGGTGAGGAGGGGCAGTGCCACCTGACTCTGAAGTGTGAGGCTGAGGAGGTGACGCTGATGGCCATCTGCAGGAGGAGGGGCCGAGGGGTCTCTCACAGGGACATGGACTTCATCAGGCGCAGCTGGCGGGGTCGGAACAGGGCGGCCGGAGCTAATTACTTGGCGCAGCCTGGAGCAGTGCGCTGTCTCCAAGAACCCGCTCACCTCAGAACTGAGCTCGGGGCGCTCACCTTGGACGAGGCCATAAATATTCTAGTTAGGACCCGCTGGGGGGAGGGCAGGGAGCCTCCAGGAACCAGAGCCACTTGGAGTCTCTCCGAGGTTTGATCCGCAGGAGCGCTCAGTTCACGGCTCCCCCAATTAGACGGGGCTGGCGGGTCTCCCCTCGCAGAGGCCGCTCGCTGGGCCCAGGCGCTCCACCAGGACGCCAGGCTCCCCGTGCACTGCCTGCTGCGTGGTGTGGGGTGCGGGTGTCCTCGGGGGAAACCAGGAACTGTGGATGTGCTTTCCAGGTTTGTTGCGTCCAATACAACCCTGTGGGGTGTCCTGCAGCCGAGGCAGGACCAGGACCTCACGAGGAAGATGGTCATGTCTCCTTCGGGCCAAAGCTCAGGCCTGAGTTGGGAGAGCCCCTGGGGTCTGCAGCGGCAGGACGGTAGGGGACCCCCTGCATGTGCCTGGAGATGGGTCATCTTGACCCGGTTGCCGTATTGCTGGCCACTGGTTTCCCAAGCCCGGGTCCATCGCAGGCAACCTTGCCCCAGAGACAGGAGCTCCTGTTCAGGCCGCCCGGGGAGAGAGGGAGCTCAAGGAAGCACAAGCCACTGGGAAGGACACTGGGTCTGGTCACCCCAGGGCTCCCCCAGCCGCTCCCCTTGCTTCCACTGGAGCCAAGAACCACCGTAGGGCAGAGGGTCCATGTGGTGGGGGAGGACAGGAGGGGACAGTGAATAAGGGGGGGAGAGGCAGGAGGGGAGGGACGGGGGAGGGAGAAAGTGGTGGGGGCAGGGGGAGGCCGGGGGAGGAGCAGGAGGGTGGGCTAGGGCAGAAGGGAAGGGTGGGGGGGAGGGGAGGGGAGCAGGAGGAGGGTTGGGGAGGAAGAGGAGGGTGGGGAAGGAGAGAGGAAGAGGAAGGGGTGGAGGAGGGGCATGGGAAAGGGGGGAGGAAGGCCCAAGGAGGAGGCGGGGGAGGGGGAGGGGAGGAAGGAGCGGGGGTGGGGGGGTGGGGGGGTGGTCCTGGCAGTACCGCTGTCTTGTGTTGTGCCAGGTCAGCCTCCTCCCCCGCCAGGGGGAGCAGCTCAAGTGACATGTCCTGTGGCTTCCCTGACAGCCGGGCCTTGCTGGATGAGCATGGAGCCTCTGTCCCCAGCACAGGGGCCGCCCAGAGCCAGCAAGGCCCAGGGAATGCGTGGAGGTCGACAAGGAGGTGCAGGAGGGACCTTGTGGATCACGAGGATCCTGGAGCCACCTGGGGCCACCCTCAGTCCCCAAGGCAATCTCCAGGTGCCCTTGGAGGGGCCAAGCCTGTTCAGAAGCTGGCCCAGGCCCTCAGGGCCTCGTCTGCTCATCTGTCAGGGGGGCGTCTGGGGCTGCTCTGAGCACCGCGAATGCAGCGGGCACCTGGGAGCTCGTGTCTGGGAGTCACCCTCCTGTCCCTCCCTTAGCTTTAGCTCTGCTCTCTGGTGGCGCAGACGCGATGGCCTCCCCACCACGGCCCTGAGCAGCCCAGCACCCCGCGCCCAGCACCCCTGCAGCGCGTGTCTCCTCCCCACCCCTCTCTCGCCCATCCCAGCCACTACAGGGAGCCATGTGAGGACAGACACCGTCCACCAGCTCCATGTCCACTGGGCACCAGCCCTCGCCTCCACCAACAGGCTGAACAAGGAGAAGAACCGATGGGCACTGGCCTCTGCCTGGGGGTCTCTACCTCAGGCAGGGGCCCTTGGAGCAGGAAACCCTGCAGTCCCTCAGGCTCTCCTCCCACCCATGTGGGCTGCAGGTGGCCAGGCCCAGCTTGGGTCACTGCCACCTGCTGCACGAGCTGCTGACCAGGGGCCTGGGAGTGGAGGCAGCGTCCACCTCCCCTCACGTCCCTAGGCTCCCTCTCCATCTCTGCGCTTCCCTCCTTGTGGACCAGGAGCGCACAGCCTGTGGACCCCGGCAGCTCCAGGCAGAGCTCCTCCCTCCAGGGCCACCCTGGGGAGCAGTGTCCATGGCCTGACGCCCACTGTGCTCCCCTGCCCCTTCTCCAGGACGGCTGGGCTCCATGGCTCCTGGGCCCCTGTATGTGAGAGGAGTGCGCGTGCCACGCTGCCGCTATGGGTAGGGAGGTGTCCGGGGGGCCGCAGCCCGCAGAATTACCTGTGGCTCCTGGCTGCTCTGGTGGCCATGGGGCCTGGCCCCACCCAGGGCAGGTGGGGACCCTGAGCGGGCCATCTAGAGGGTCTGCTGGTTGGCTGACCTTGGGTGGACCTTGCCCATGGCCCTCCCCACACTGTGTTGCTCTCAGTCCTTTGGGACCTCTCCCAGCTGAGGGACAGGAGAAGAGCCAGGGCCAGCCGCAACTGCGGGGCTTATCCAGGCCAAGCAGGCACGTCTTCTCCTCCCCTGGGGAGGGTGGCAGGGCCTGGATGGGTCCTCTAGGTAGGGTGGACGGTGCTGGGACTGGTCATGGCCCTGAGCCCCTGGCCCTCTGGCCCTCCATTGCCCAGTTCCACCAACGTCGCTGCGGGACACCTCAATCCTGCAGACAGGCCCTGTGTGCCCTCCGCACCAGCCCTGCCCTGCCTGCATCACAAGGCCCACTCCCGCTCCCAGAGCCCAGAGGACCCGTGACTGGGGCCTGCAGGACCTGGGACTGGGGCCCACAATTCCGCTGATGTGCCTGCGGTCACCTCACCTTCCCACCAAGCCACAGGCTGCAGAGTTGCCTTCCACGCCACCCTGGTGCGCCACCCAGTAAAACTCAGGATTTCCAAGAGAAGCACTTCATGTCCCTCAGGGCAGGGGCAGGAGGAGTTGTCCAGGTTGCAGAAGGCACTGGTGTGCAGGGTGGAGGAGCTGACCCGTGGCAGGGCACATCCTGGTGTCCAGTGCTGGCTGGACCCTGAGAACCACCAGGTTCTCTTGGGTTTCTCTTGAGTGGCCACCAGTCTCTGCCGCCTGCACGGCAGGGCCTCGCTGGGGACCGGTCACGGTGCCAGCTCGGGGGCTGGTCCACGGCAGCTGCAGGTCCCCTCTGTTGCCCCTCTCCCTGCCCATGCAGGAGACAGTCCTCGGCACCCCTGGAGGGCCCTGCCCGGCCCCATAGCCCGTCTCACCTCTCGGTCCAGGCCTGCTGCCACTGTCACGATGTCCCCCGTCTCGCTGTTGATGGTGAACATGTTCTGGGATGGGCTCTGAGGGGTCTGGGTCACAATCCGGTACCGCACCATGCCGTTGGCCGTGGTGCTGTCATCCGCGTCATTGGCTGTGACTGTCATCACGTAGGTGCCTGTGAGGGGGGAGAGCAGCTCAGGTGGGGTCTGCACCAGCTCTGTCCCCACCACACTCCAGGGGGACCTCGCCATTCACGCCAGGACGCTCAGGGCAACTGGGTGTGGCTTGTGCCCGTCACCTGCCAGGGCACCCAGGTGCCCATGAAAGTGAGCCCAGCCCTGCTGTGAGGGGTTCTCCTGAGCCGGGCGAGGCTCCCGCAGTGGGTGCCCTGACATCTCCCCCTCAGCGCAGGGTCCCAAGGCCTGGACAGGAGCGCCTCTCCAAGCCCTGCAGGGTGGGACATGCTCAGGTGGCCGGCAGCCCCCAGGTGTCCTTCCAGGAGCCTGCTTAGCTTCCAGGTTTACTGAGGGAAACACTCCACAGGGTGCATCTTAGGAGAGCAGGTCCAGCACAGGAAGAGGACGTGTATTTGCAGGTGCAGGGTCTACGGTCTCATCTCAGGCAGGTACATGGGACCACTGACCGGACTCAGCAGGCAGACGGCGGGTGTGGAGGTGGCAGGACGGCAAGGGAGGGTCCAGCGCCAGGGGCTGCCGGGTGCTGAGCAGCTGCTCCTCCCTCACCAAGACACAGCTGCACTGAGGTGTGGTCCACACACCACGACGCTTGTCCTTCAAAGTACAGTTGCGTGGTTTCTGTGTCCCCGCAGGGTTGTGTGACTTCACACGGTCTAGTCCCAGGACATTTCCCATGGCCTTAGGGAGCTCGGCACCATGATCACTCACTCCCCGTTGTCCCTCCCCAGTCCTCTGGCTTCTGCTCTCTGGGTTCATCCTCCTGGAGACTTGGACAAGGAGCTATGTCACATGTGACTTTTGGCCTTTGGCTTCCTTCACCACACCCGAGGTCCCTTCCTTTTGAGGCTGAGCACTATTTCACTGTATGGGGACATTCATGCCATCACCAAAAGTGCACCTGCCACATGTAGGGCCTTGGGCTCTGGGTAGCAGACAAACACTGTCCCTGTCCCTTACAGGCTGGTGTGGGAGGACCAGACCGACAGGTAAAGAGACACATGATTGCAAATTGTGACAAGTGCATGGCAGAGAGGAGAGACAGTATGCAGGGACCACTGCAGACGCAGGACAGCTGGGTGACAAGGTGGACTACAGAGGGCACAGCCAAGGCCTCGCTGAGAGACCGAGGGATGGGACCCTGCACAGAGGGGCAAACATTCTGGGCAGAGAGTCCTGCATGATAGGGACAGAGACGGGGAGGGCATCTGGGGTCAGGGCGGCTGGATCCATGCTGTCACTCCATCCTAAGATCCAAGGGAAGCCAGCAGTGGACGGTCACCAGGGGACTTAAGTGACAGCTTGGTGTTCCTAAGACAGAGAACAGACTGCAGGCGGCGGGGGGCGGGGGCTGGTGGAGAGCACAAGGCTCGTTCCGTCCCTGGGTGTTACAGACCAGTGATATCCAAGGGACATCTGCTCATTCCTTTGGCACTCCTCTCCGTGTCTGCTGGGGAAAACACCGGAGAACTGTGTGTTTTGAAGTCCTAAGAAAAATCCACAAACAGACCTGCTGTATTTCGTGTGAGCAGTTGTGTGTAAACCTAATTATTATTAATTGATATATAGTTAATCATCAATAGAGTTCTGCCAAAGACACTGGATATTTAAAAAGAATCTGGAAAGTTTTGCGTTTAGCAAAGGTGAAGAATGTTTTCATCAATCTTCCTCCCAAGGAGAACTATAAAAGCTGGACAAAAAATAAGTAAATAAAATAAAGCAACCTGTTGGGAGGCCCTGGAGAGCGTTCAAGGGGCAGTGCTGGGAAAGGAGCTCCCAGGACCTCATCTCCCAAGGCCTTTCCTGATGGCAGAACCGGCCAGGGAAAGCCCGAGGAGCGGCACGGGCTCACAGAAACCCAATTGAAGACCCAACTTCAGTCTTGCCAAGGAGGTCGGGCCCTGGGAGGTCTCTGGTCTTTGTGTTGGACCTTGAGGTGCAGCACCCTAGAGAGAGTGAGTGATGTGGGAATAAATAGTCCTACCATAATAGCAATGATCCTCCAAGGAGAAAGCAGCAGCACACTTGGCCTCAAGTTACTGCTACAACTGTCTGTGTACAATGTGCAACATTTGATTACTAAGCATACAAGAAGACAAAACCTGACTGAAAACAAAGAGAGAAAACAGACATCAAACGCTCCAGGGGAGAGTCAGGTAATGAAGACGTCAGATGCAAACTTAAAAGAGAAACAGCTCACTATGCTCAGGGAGTTAAAAAGATAAGAGGAAATTTTGGCCAGAGAACTAGAAATCATTTAAAACAAATAGAGTGGGAAAACTATATCTGAAAAACAACTAAAATTAAGAACGTGAGTGGGCTTAACAGTAGATCAAATATTAATAAAGAGAGAGTTAACTGAAAGATATAGCCAAAGAAAATAAAGACCAAAACAAGCCAGAAAAGTTCAGAAGAACCATATGAAACTTTAGTAGATTCCCCAAATGTGTAACTGGAGCCCAGACGGCCAAAAAGAGACGA